CTAAATTATTAATTGTCGCCTTCGCACCAGCAACACAGTCAACATCACGAACAGTACCGATAAAAATCACAAACAGTGGCGATCAGGAAAACAAACAGTTTTCAGTGATTTAATTCATTTTAGTGAGCAAATTCTCCTAGCAAAATTGTTTCCAGTGTGACTGTGTGCTAGAAGAGAAGTGCTTTGAGAGGAAATCAGTTTGAATTGACAAAAATGTTCTGATAATCTAATGATTAGTAATAAATTCAAATAACTGACTAAAAATTGTAGAAATGGCGTTTCGACCAAATGCTGAATGAACGAAATTCTTGTCTTTACCGACGCTCAGCTACCACGTTCAATGACTGAATAACGTGAAAGCTTTACAGAATAGAACCTTTGTAATGATTTTATCAAGAGTGAGAGGATTTGAGCATTGCAAATTCGCTTATTTCTCCATCAGAATTAGCGAGCACTTCGTTTGGCTTTAAATAAGCGAAACATTTATAAAGATTAAGAGACATTCACCATACCTTCCTAGACTTTATCTGCATATTGGAACAAGATCATCTGCAAAAATGGAACGTATTGAGTCTGAAAAAAGGCATTCTGGAAAATCCAAACGACCCAGAATTTCTTATGAAATGCTCATTTCTCATGTGTTGATCTTCTTAAGAGGGAATAAAAAAGTGTTTTGTTGCCAGTTCATTTTTTAATTTCTGATTTTTGTTGTCCTCAATTGGTTTGTTTTTTGCTTTTTAGTGCTCATCATTGGGATGATTATTTGTTGTTGAATCATTCAATAAAAATTTCCAACTGTTCAGTAACGCAATGGGTTTTTTCTTGGACAAATAAGCGATGCAATTGTAAATTTTGGAGAAAGATTCAAAAGTAGCGATCATTTTGTTAAATTTTTAGCGGTTTGGCGAAAATTAGCGCTAAAAACTTTAGCGCTATTTCTTTGCTAGCGGAATTGATAGCGGATTATTTTCTAGCGTAATATGATCTTTTTTTTNTTTTTTTTCAGTGAATGAGCGATTAGCGTAGCGACTTTTTTCAATAGGGTGCCGATCACTGGAAATTCTATTTCACAATAATGCATTTTTCTGACAAATCAGAATCTCCTCTAATTCATGAAATCAGAGACTAGTCAAACTTCACAAAAACAAAAAAGTTCAACGAGCTGAGCTAATTGTACAGCTATTTTGAACAGATATATAGGAAACCCGAACGTAACCTCCTTTGAAATGCATTAAATTGGGTGGGAATCGGCAAGCAGTTAGAACCAAATGAGCAGTGTTTAATGTTAAAAAATCATTTCCCAATTTCCAGTTGTTCCCCAGCTGTAAATATTTTTCGATTGGAAAAAAGCATGTGTAAAAACAGATGTTTCGCAGTAAATCCGTCATTTTAACCTAAGTTTCTATAACCTTTGAAAACAACAGCTAACCAATTGAACGGACAACAACTCCAGTGTTATCAATATGCCGATTAGAATGTTCCGATGCCTTACATATTTTTATGTAAATGTTTGTGTCGTGTTGTGCCCATAAATTGTTATCATCTGACATTCTCACTATATTACTCATCAACGTATGATCGCTTAATTGGTTTAAATGTCAGCGCTATCAAACTTTCACAGTTCATTTATTGATCATAAAATAAGCATTGAATAATAATATGAAATATGCACTGAAAATCTATGAAAGGATTCACGGCTGCTGAATGCTACCCTTACGGCAAAGAAATGAGAATGAAAATAATGTATAATATATGTGAACGAACTACAGCACTTTAATACTTATAATAAATAAACGTGTTGAAAAGGACGTAAATAACATATTCAGACCATGTACAGCACATTTTTCAAAATGACATATTATGTTGATAGCATGAAGAAACTTATCGTATTGACCATAACAAGATACTAGTGAAAAACAGTGGGTTGCATGCTTGATAATAAAATACAGCATTTTGCTTGCATAACAGATAAATTCGGCAGATATCGGAAAGATTCAAAGAAGAAATATATTGAAAGATGTATTAATAAAGCGATCAAGTAATTACATCAGATTAATGGATGATAGTTAAGCATCACTCTTTTATTAGCGACGTGAAGTCAATTGATTGGGGTTAGAGGGTTCGAATCTTTTTTTGAATGCATTTATGACATGTTCTGGCAAACAGTCGCATGCTTTTAACACTCTCTTGGAAAAGAAATATTTGAATTTATTGAGATGACATCTGTTGATGGCTAATTTATATTCATTGTGAGCAAGTTCGACCAATATGGTGATCATTAAGAGGAGGCACATTCCAAAATTTGATTGCAACGTCAATTCTTTTCACATCATTCCTCAGGTTCTCGGTATTTGACGTCATCACAGCATGGTAAGTAAGTGCCAGCAATTAGATACACGATTTCCTGTGATTCAGCGGCACTTCGATCATTTGAACATGATTCTCGTTGACATTTTTTTACAATTCTCTTCACTTAGTCATCGCATATTCAATGAACACATTCTACCTTAAATTCCGAACGCCTGAGCAAAACCAACATATCAAATGATGTCACTGGTCGATACACGCCTATAATCGAGCAGAGCAATCTTCCGGTTGCTTATGAACAATTTCTTATGAACAACCTGTGAGCAAAAAAAGGCAAAAAGATTCTGAAAACCTACCAATTGATCAACAGAACAACGTTGTGAATATCGCAATATTAACACAAAAAATGTGCTGATCAAATGATAACGATATGATTACATCACTGCATCTGATAAATTGCTAATCAATCATAAAAAATGGCTAAATGTCATTTTAAAACTTATGAATTCATTATCAGAACGTCTTAGGCTCTTGCTCATTCAACATTATCAAACGTTACCCCTACTGATATAGAAGCGCATAATAACACAAGCTGCTAGTTGAATTGGCATTGTGCTGATACTGCAACGTTCGTGTTACAGTCCTGCTATTGCACTGAGAAGTCCTTACCGACCTCAAACTTTTACAGTTTGACCATCACAAGTACCTCACAAGTTCCATTCTTCTTCTAAAGGAGACCTAAGAGGTAAATAACCATAAAACCAGTTCCACTTGACAAGTTCCCCTGAAATTCACTATTACTGACCACATCCGAATAAATCTCAGTCGATCATCTCAACATTTTCCCAAAATCCTGGGCATTACGTAACTATTTCTCGAAATATCGACCCTGAAAAATCATGAGTGATCAGCGCCATGATATCGCGTCCACCGATGACGCTATAAAATGGTGGAAGCAATCGTATTCAAATGACGAAAACCAAAATGGAAAAAACGTTCCGAAACTGAATCGAAAAGTACCGCTGACAGCAGGGGCAGCCATCTCCCTCTCAATTCTTTGCATCGTTTTAATGTTGCCCGGAGCTGAACTGACAATCCCGAGCCAAAAAGAAAAATCGCATTCGATGATGTTATCACTGAAAACGAATCAATCCCGTCCATCAGCTCAACAAGGTATATCTCATATTCTTGAGCGTCAGAATCACGAAACTATGACCAAAACCAACATTAAAAGCTCAATATTAGCCAGATTTGTGTTGGAATACGAAGTAGTTAACATTAAGATCGTGATGGCCTTGACCTTAACTGTAATCTCATTCTCTCGGGTGATTTAATTACTTTAACATTTATTTGAATGAATTTAATGAATTACTTCTTAGGATTTGATAAATCATTTTGATTATTTCGAAATGCCGTTGGTTCTGATCTCATTAGCTTATTAGAACGTATTAAATCCATCTTACAAACATCACTGATAAAGAGCATCGTTCATAATTATCGCTCACATTGAACTACTTTCAGATCCACCTTGCTCGGGTTATTTTGCATTCGTTGTGGACAATTCGATTAATACTGCTTACAATTATGATAAGGTTGGTTTGGGCACACTCACTTTAGCTTTTAAATCACTTCATTTCTCTAATGCAAATTCTGAATTGAACCATGCTTATACACATCCTTACGGATGATAATGAGTGTTTTCGTTATTATCTACGTTATCACAGCTGCCATCCTTATCTTTTGTTGTCAACGAAATGTGATTAGCAGCCACAATTATAGATCGTGCAATCAATAGCATATGTAACAGATAATTGGAAATTAGATGAAAAATTGCAACTCACAGCCGCATCTGCCGCCGATGGTTCCATCGATGCGAATGATTTCGCGAAGAATATCACAGATTGGACCCAGATGTTGGACGATTTGAGCAGCATGCTGGGGACTTTCGATCCTCCATTGACACCAATTCAGTAGGTTTCTTTATTGATAAAAATTCAGGTTTTGGGTGAATTTTAATGGGAAATTATCAGTTAATCCACATGTTTGATGCTTTCCAAAGACACATTAGCACATGCACATTATTACGAACAAAGCGATAATCGTTCATTTGAATCGTAGACTTGCGAGTAATATTTCATCTGAATATTGCAACAGTGATAGTGAATTCAAGATCGCTCAAGGTGGAAGTGTCAAATTCATCATCTTCACATCAGTCAGGTGAATTTCGGTGGCTGTTTTATTTAATTTTGTTCTTTTATTCAGCTACGTCAATATCCCTGGTTTCCAATTGTTAGCGCCGAAGGCGTAGGAAAGTGAATTGTTAAGGTGGAATTTTAATAAACTTTAATCAGAGAATTGATGAGACTTTAATCATTTGAAGAGATTGACTTCATGCAGTTTGTGAAGTCAGCAGTTTGAATGTTGGGTTTTCAACTGGCATTAGTCGATGGTATTCCAATCGGAACATTGATGAGAGTCGTTATGATATGCTGAATGAAAGATATTTTATAGGGATGAAACAGAAATTAATAAGGCATTGAATGAGCAGAATCCGTGGTTGAAGTGCCCGCTGGCAGGAAACGAATCCGTTTTCATGGTTGCAGTTGATGGTGGTAGGTTATTTCTTTGATTGAGTATTGATTAGATTTGAGATTTGATTAGTGAGAAAGAATGTACTTGTCAAAAATTGGATATAANTGTGCACTGAGGTCTGCAATGTAAACATTTATTAATTCGGTGATCTCGACGTTACTAAAAATTATAATAATGGCTCATTACGAATACACCAATAAATATCAAGTGAATTCCAGTTTCAACATCAATAAAAACAACAATAAGGTTGACAGTACCAAGCATTAAAAAACTCTTCCCGCGTCGATAGCCTTTTTTCCATCCCATCTAAAGATATTTGTCAAGCAATAAACTAATCACATTCACCAAGCCGTAATCTTCTTAATTCATTAAGCTATTCTCGGTGAATAAGGGATCACTTAGCTTCACTGATCATGGAGGATCAAGGAGATATAGCTGATCGTATGACATCATTAGACTTTAAATATTGTCTGCTAATTTTCATACATTCTTTAACTGATGAATTTTTTGAACAAATCGCTCTTAAATTTTAAAGAATACCATTTTAAATAAACATTGATAATG